GAGCTGCTCCTCAGAGCCGCTGCCATGCCAGCCGGGCATCCCCCCATCCTTCCCCTCCGCAGGCTGCCTCTGCACCGTCGGCATCCTGACCTACGGGCTGATCAACTTCAAGAGGGGCAACACCCACAAGTCTCAGCTGATGATGCGGGCGCGTATCCTGGCCCAGGGTTTAACCTTCGCGGCCCTCCTGGGGGGCATGGCAGCCACAGCCATGAAGTCTAGAAAGTGAAGTCAGGCGAGAGGGCAGCTGCGGGTGTGCCCCCGCCAGCCTGTGCCCAGCTGGATTCGGGCTGCGGATGGAGTTTGTGAGAGACAGTTCTGAAGTCCCGGTGGAGCCGGCACCAGAGAGGCTCTGTGTTCCAGAGCACGGGAAACCAGCTAATACAACTCTGTGAATAACCTAACATTTGGGCCGTGGCATTTTTTGATTCCCTGAGGGCTTATCCTCCTGCAGCACTGGAGGCTGTGTCTCACTGAGACTCTCCACCCCTGTCAGAACTCTGCTTGGTGCTGTCACAGCCTGTTAAAATTGAGTTCTGGGGGTCGAGTTGTGGCAGTGCAGCAGCATTTGAGAAATGAGCTGCCCAAGTGGGAAGGAACAGCTCTGTTTATGGCCTGGTCCTGCAGGACAGAGTTCATAAGCAGCGGGTGAGTTGTCTGGGGAGTATATGTAACGTGTTTGGTTGCAACCAGTGAGTAATAAAGTGAACTGCAGTGAGATTCTGACTGATACTGGGTGGCAGAGCATTGGGAGGCTAGAAGAGTAAACAGGGTAGGAAGGAAAGGGAGCAGGCAGAGCTGCAGTGGTGCAAGCAGGACACGAGATGTAACTCCCAATGAAAACAAGTTGGGAACTTGCATCTCCAAAACTTGCTGCATTCCCCGAGACCCGCTGTTGCTTTTGCTGGGGAGTTGGTTCCTGCACAGCTCAGTGCTTCATGTGAGCTGGAGCTGGCAGCTGAGCAAGAGCCTTGTTCCTGGAGGGAGCTGCACTCCCTGCATCGTGACAGACATCATTTGGATCATACCAGGGGGTTTGGTGAGCAACAAGACTTTGCTTTCCCGTATCAGGGCTGCAGGGCTGGGAGGACACGGAGCCATTGGCTCTGTTTGCTGTGTGGCTGTGGCAGCTTATACCTGCAGGGGAAAGGGGCACAGACACCACTAACGTGCTGCAGCGCCTCCTCGTGTTGAGCTGCCTGGGGCGTTTCCAGGCAGTGCGTGTCTGCCCCAGCCTTCCCTGTCCTGTGGTGCCTTCACAGCTTGTGGAGCCCACTGTGCCTTCATGAGCTTCTCTGGAGGAGAACCCCACCTCTAGGTGAAGGGGAACCCGCTTCTGCCCACAAACAAGCAAGGACAGAGGGAAGGCTCTTGCCCACCAGAGCTGACCTTTGAGGTGCGAGGTTGGGTGAGTGAGCTTATTACCTGGTGAGCCCCACGAGGGAGCCCTGGGCTTTGCCTGCTCAGCATGTCTTCCCCAGAACAAGCTGCTTTTGGCTGGCTCTCTGGCACTTCCAGCCTGGCCAGCTTGGGGCAGAGCTGTGGGAGGCAGTGCGGGGGCAGATCTGTGAGCACAATCCCTTGGCAACCTGTGTAAGGGTGGCTGCCCCTGCTTCTGCCCCAGCCCAGCACAAACCATCTGGCCATCTTCCCCCCACTCCTGTTTCTTCCTGTAGGATGTGGTTTTCCTCCCGCCCTGTCCTTCCCATAGGAGGCTTCTGTGGGGCTGTGTGTTCTCCTAAGCACGCACCTGTGTGTCCCTGAAGCAGAAAGACCACAGTGCCCTGTAGGACTGGAGATGTGGGTTTATTGTAACAGGTAATTTGAACAGTCACAGATACCAAAGCCAGGGGGATGTAGAAGAGCTGTGGGCACGGCTCCCCGGAAGCTGGCTGCCCTGCCTGACACAGGGGCATGGCTGCCCGGGGGGCTTGGTGGGACAGAGCACAGGGCAGGGGGGGGACTGCTTCACTTCCTGCTGCTCTGCAGTGAGAGGCAGAAGCAGACAGCCAAGCCCCAGATACCCTGTACCAGTGTCCATCCTGCACCACAGCAGAGCTGCCTATGTGTGCTGGAGTGCAGTGGGACAGAGTAGGTGCAATCAGCCCTATGGACAAGGGGGACAATCCCAGCACACAGTGACTCCTCACAGACCCATTCCCCTTCCCAGCTCACTGCTGAGCCTGTGCCCCTGAGCCAGGGGTGCTTGGTCACCCCTGAAGAGGTGACCTTCCTGACTCCATAGCTGCAGGATGGGAGAGCTTTGTGTACTTGCTGTTTGGCTGACAGGGCTCTGCAGTGATGCTCAAGCACATGTTTTGTGGGCTCTGCTCCACGTCACAGGCCTGTCCCTCTCCTGCTAGCCGGGAGTTTTGCAGGTTTCCAGAGCTGGCCTCCAAGCTGGAGGGGCTGGTGCTGGCCCTGCCAAGCAGAGGAGAGAAACTGGGTGTTCGGGCTAGAAAGTGTATCTTGTGGGGTGGGGAGTGGGACTGAGGCATCTCCCCATGCTGCCTTAGGTGTGTAAATCCAGCAGGGGCCAAAGAGAAGCCACAGAGCTGCTGCAGACAGATGTGCAGGTTGTTTTCCGGGGACAATATAAGCCCCAGCACCAGAACTCTGCCCAATCCTGCTCTGGGCCCCTGGGTTAGGGAAGTGGGGGCTCAACCTTCCTACTTCCTTCCCTACAACCACACAACCTCCATTTCCCATCCTAGTAGCAGGGGAAGGAGCAGATCCAAGGGTCCCAAAGCCTGGCACCCACATTCCCAACTGCTGGTGGCTTTGCTGGAGGGACAGAAAACATCCCACACACTCACCCCATGGCCCCGTCTCAGTGCCCTGCACCACCTCAACCTGGCATCAGCAACCCCACAGGATGGATGGGACACTAGACACTGCAACCGCTGCTTGGAGCCCCACCAGCTTTTTGGGATGCACAGCTGGGCTGGGAGGGTTCTGCTCTGCTAGGGGCAGTCCTGGCCCAGCCTAGGTGCCTGCACTCACATTCCTCAGCTCAGCAGCATCACGCTGCAGCCATGCTCCTACTGGACTTAGTGCAGAGCTAAGTAAGGGCTGTTCTTCCACCCTCCCACACCAGCTCTGCTCTAACCCCGCCCCGGGAAAGGCAGGTGACAACCCTGGATCCCACTGGGATCAGTGCCTGGGTCCCAGGGTCAGATATAGGGCTGCCATGCCTGGAGCTGCTCCAGGTGGGTTTATTCCCAGAGCAGGGGTGAGGAGGGGAACACAGGGCGGGTGTTCCCCCTCTCACTCAGCCAGGCCTCTGGGCACAACCTCAGCCCAGGCTGGGGGCTCCCCCGCTGTAACTCAGCTCTGCCACCCAGTGTCGCTTCCCGGGGAAATGCCACAGTGTAATAAATAGGTGTAAAAAGAGACCGATGCACCTTTTAAGCAAAGGAAAACCATGGGGAGAGTTACAACCAGTGACTCGAGCACAGCAGAGGCGCACAGCAGGGAGCAGGCAGGATAAGGCCCCTCTCTGGGCTCGGTAAGCCCAGCCCTGCCTGGCTGCGCTTCAGCTGTGCCAGGCAGCAGCTAACGGGACAGGGGTGTCTGTTTGAGGGAGATGAGCACCGAGCGCATCCGCGAGACATCCTTGCTCTGCTTGCTGCTCTTGGGATTGAAATCACAGAGCTGGGCCACCTTCTCCCACTCAGAGCCAGGGGTTTCCTCCTTGGACTCCTTCAGGAATGCTTCCTCCGATGCCCTGCAGAGATGTGGAGGGTTGTTACTGGCAGAACCCTTTCAAAGGAGACCCTCCCCTCTGCCTGGGAACCCCTCACGTCCCTGCTTCCTGTCCCCTTGCTCCAGCTGATGAGCTCAGCATCTTCTGGGATCCAGAGACACATGACGCTCAAGGCTGCTGTTGGCTGCGCTCACCCAAGACATCATTCATCCAGGGGCACTGGAGTGTCTGCCTGCTCCCAAGACTTCTCCACTCCCAGAGCCATCCCCCACGACACACAAGACCCCAGAATTTGCCTCTTCAACAGCCCCCACAGAGGCATTTCCAGGAACTCCACTTGCCTCCTAAGACTCCATCATTTGGAGACACGGAGACATTCAGCTGCACTGTCCTCCCTCTGGGACCTCACCATGGCTCACTACCTCCCAGCATCCCCCCTTCCCTTGGCTGGGCAGCCCCAGGACCCCCAGACCCCGCGGGGCAGGATATGGTCCGTAAGAGGCACATACACATAACCGATCACATCGGCGTCCGGCTGCTGGTAAAAGGCTTTGTCAGCGATCCTATAGCCCCCGAGGCAGAGACAGAGAGAGAGCGCAGAGCAGACAGGCAGGCAGAGGGTTAGAGAGAGAGAAACACACAGGGGGTTAATGTCCTCCCACAGAGTGTGACCCACTCACCACAGCTCACACAGCACCAGGACAACCTGCATACACACTGCCCCAACCCTGCCCCGGGGCGAGGCCCACACAGGGGGGCAGGAGGCACTGAGATCCCAGCGTGGTCCCAGTCAGAGCAGCTCTGCACAGCCTCTGGAGCCACTCAAAGCCCCTTGCTTGGCAAAGCTCCATCCCTGCAGGGTTGGGCTCCACTGTGTGGAAGGAGGCCCCCAGACATCCCAGATCTGGCTGCACAGCAGCTCCCATTGCAGCCCTTGTGGCCATGCTGAGCCAACATACCTGTTGTTTGCTCGGTTCTTCTCCATCTGCTCATTCTGACGCAGGTTCCACTCCTCCAGGTCCTTCTTGGCCTTCGCTTGGCAAAGCTCCATCCCTGCAGGGTTGGGCTCCACTGTGTGGAAGGAGGCCCCCAGACATCCCAGATCTGGCTGCACAGCAGCTCCCATTGCAGCCCTTGTGGCCATGCTGAGCCAACATACCTGTTGTTTGCTCGGTTCTTCTCCATCTGCTCATTCTGACGCAGGTTCCACTCCTCCAGGTCCTTCTTGGCCTTCTCACGGACAGACCCCATCAGCCAGATTGTCACCCACTGGTTCTGCTGGGCAGCCCCCAGCAGGCAAGACAGCTGCAGCTCCCCAGCCTTGTCCCCCATCCCCGCTATTATTGTCTGAAAGGCATCACTGCCCCAAGGACAGCAGATCTCCGGCAGGGGCACCCACACAGTGGGGGCCATAAGACACCTCTCTGGGATGCAGTTGCGTCCCCCCTCCAGGTGAGGGCTGCCATGTGCCCCGACTGCCATGAGCATGGCCACACATGGCCTCAGGTCTCACCCAGCTCCTCCAGGCGCTTCTTCTGCTCCTCCCTCCACTTGCGGATGCTCTCAGGTTCCTGGGTCAGCCGATCAGCCTTGGCTATGGCTGCGTAGGCATCAGTGGGGCCATTGGACTCCTGCAGGACATGAGCACCTCACCATCAGCACTAGCTCTTTCCACAGCCCCAAAGGGGCACTCAGACAAGCCAAGACAGGAGGTGGGGAGAGTGACAACCTCAGACATCTGGGACTGTCCCCAAGGCACTCAAGCTGTCGCCCCTGCTCCCAGGCCCTGCCACAGAGAGACACTTCCCAGTCTTTCCCTCCCTGACTTGCTCCTCTTGCATCCTCTGGGCAGCCACCAGCTTTGTGACATGCTTCTACCAGCACCAAGCTCCCCTGACCCTGACTTGGTCTGAGGCAGCCCCAGGACTGAGCGTTGTTACAGGCATGGCCACAGCAGACAGGGAGATGCCAATGCCTGGACACCATCCCGCAGGGAAGAGCCTCCCTCGCTCCTCTGAGCCCAGCTCCCTCCAGGCCCAGCACCGTGCTGGCTCAGCACCTCTCCTAACACCTTGTGCTGGCTGGGATTCCCAGCCTGACACCGAGCTCAGCCATGGGATTACAGCTTTCATCCAAGATCCCCAATCTAATTAAGCCTGCCCCATGTCTGATGTGATTATCATCCCCTAATCTAGGCACGGGCAATGCACATGCCACGCTGCTGGGCACCAAGTAGGGTGAAGAGTTTGTCAGGTGCTGGCACAGCTTCTCCTGCAGCCAGCAGAGCTGGGCTTGCAGCTCCCAGAGGGAGCTGAAACCCCAGTGAGTGGCCCCCACTAAACATCCTTGGCCACGGGGCAAGTGGGTTTAATGGGAGATGCTGCTGAGTCAACAAAGCAAGTGTCCCATGGCAGCCCTGTCCTGGATCTGGCCTCTCCAAGAGATGCTTCTGGCTGCCCTGGAGGCCTCCAGGAGCTATCCAGGCTGGAGAGATGGGGCACTCCTCAATGGCACAGGCCATCTGCAAACAGATTTGGGGCAGGTCATGGCAGATGGAACCAATCTTCTCTTCAAAGAGGGGTGAGAATGGAGCAGCCAGGACTCCCCCATGAGACACAGACCCTTCCAGAGCAGTTCTGCATCTGGATAGCAAACTCCAGTCAATCCTGGGAGCAGAGCTGCAGAATGTTCGCCCCATACCCACCCAATCCCCCTTGGCACCACTGGGCAAGAGGCTGAGCTCTCACCTGGAAGACATCTCCATTGACAGTGGTTCCTCCATTCTGGAAACCAGCTAGGGAAAAGGGAAGAGAGAAAGACAATTACAACTACGGCAGCTGTAGGGGATCCCAGGTGACCCCAGCTGAAGCAAATCAGTTCCTGGGAGTTTGTCTGTGCCATTCCCAGCCCAGCACACCCATCCGCAACAGTGCCATGGTCTTCTGTCCCTGGTCGGATTCAGCCAGTAAGCACCTCTCTATCTTCCAGACAAGCCTCTCTGGATATTTATGTCTTTACAGTGTTTTCACTGGTGTTTTATCTTATCTAAAGATTAGAGAAACTGTTCCAGGCACAAGGCTGGACACAGGCAGGTGCTTTGTCTGTAGAAAGACCACCTCAACAACCCCAAGCTGCAAGCAGCCAGACAGAGGCTGCCAGTGGATGGCTTCAGAAGCTGTCAGCCAAGTGCCCAGCAGTGCAGGGCTGTGAAGGGATGGCAGCCCTGCCAGGCACAGAGCCCACAGAGACACTGCAGCATGGTCCCCCAGCAGAGGAGGGCACGTGTGCATGCTGAAGCCCTTGAGAGCTCACTTTGGGTTCTGCCCTTGGGATGAGCTGCAAGGTTAGAGCTGGGAATGAGGCACCTCTGACACCCACAGCTGGGGTACACCCCCAGAGGCCCCCAGCTCCAGAGAACACCGAGAGCAGGCACAGGCAGCCACACGCAGCTCACACAAGCACCGTCCCAGCGGTGTTCACCCCCACGGTGCAGCTCTGGCTACACCCAGCTCCAGCCTGTCTGACTGCATTTATCACCGCGGCTGTCAACAGCTCTCCAGGTCCGGATCTGCCCCCACAGCCCTGTCTGCAGAGAGGTGAAACACAGCACAAGGAGGCCCTGTGGGCCTTGGTAAGGGGAAGGAGCCAAGTGTACTGTGGCAGCAGCGTCCCTGCAAACTGGAGGCAAGAGATCAGGATTAGTACCTCTTCCTGCAGGGCCTGGGACCACGATGTTCCCAGTGAAAATGCCTTCTATTCTGTGCCCCAAAGGGATCTCCTGTCTGTGGGGACAGTGCCAGGGTTGTCATTGCTCCTCAGCTTCACCCAGATGCCTCTCACATTGCCTTAGCGGGGGCTACTGAGACACAGAGATGGGGGTCCATCTAACACAAGCAACCCAGCCTGAACATATGGGGGAGAAATCACCCCGCAGCCTTCAGGTCCCAGCTCAGGAGTCACCCTACATCCTCAATTTTGAGACGGAACCCCGACATCAAGCACAGGCCCCAGTCAGCCCTTGCTGGGATGCGGGCCT